CTGTCTCCTTTTTTCTTTTCTCTTTTTTTCTGTCTCCTTTTTTCTTTTTTTTCTGTCTCCTTTTGTCTCTGTCTGTCCCCTTTTGTCTCTGTCTCCTTATTTATTTAAACAGGCGTAACCAATCATACCACCTGTCTCCTTTCTTTCTTTCTCTCTCTGTCTCTCTATCTCTATCTCTATCTCTATTTTTATCTTCTTTCTCTCTGTCTTTCTCTCTCCCCTCCCTCTCTCCCTTTCTATTTATTTATTTATACGTATATATACATACATATACATACATATACATACATATTTATATATTTATATATTTATATATATATTTATATATATTTACACAGGCGCAACCAAGCAGACCACCTAGACGTGGTGTGGGTGCCTGACGTCGCCCCCAGCGAGCACGTCAGCCCCTCAGCAGATTTCTCTATGTGTGCGGGAGAATTCGTAGAGGTAAACAAAGGGTTTAGGGTTTAGGGTTTAGGGTTTAGTAGGGTTTAGGGTTTAGTAGGGTTTAGGGTTTAGTAGGGTTTAGGGTTTGTAGGGGTTGTTGGGGTTGTAGGGGTTACACAAACAAAGGCGAACAAAACACAAGCAACTCTATAAATATAAATATATATATAAATATAAATATAAATATAAATATATATATATTTTTTTTATATTTATATTTATATTTATATTTATATTTATATTTATATTTATATATTTATATTTATGTATGTATACGGCAACACCTCTACAAGTTTACGTGCCTCATCCCGTATATTTGACGGTGTATTAACATCTTTCTTTCTTTCTTTCTAAATAAATAAATAAATAAAATAAATAAATAAAATAAATAAATAAAACAAAGACAAACAAAACCCAAACAAAACAATATATATAAAAATATAAATTTATATATTTATTTGTATTTATTTATTTCTTTAGGTATACGGCAACCCCTCAACAAGTTTACCCGCTTCATCTCGTATATTTGACGGTGTATTAACATCTTTCTTTCTTTCTTTCTAAATAAATAAATAAAATAAATAAATAAATAAAACCCAAACAAAACAATATATATAAATTTATATATTTATTTATTTATATTTATTTATATTTATTTATTTCTTTAGGTATACGGCAACCCCTCTACAAGTTTACCGGCTTCATCTCGTATATTTGACGGTGTATTAACATCTTTCTTTCTCGACACCGCGCATAATATATTATTATATATAAAAACCATCGCCAGGATTGTTAGGTTTGGTGGTTTATGGGCGAATGTGGGCCCCCTTCTCTATCACTATGCGGAGATGCCCCATGAGATGAGTGTTGAGTTCTCAGCTGAAGAAATACTCAAAGGTATACAAAGCAAACACTAAACCCTAAACCCTAAACCCTAAACCCTTTTTTTTTTTTTTTTTAGAG